TTATTACTTTATCATTCTGACCATCGTATCATGGCCTATTAAAAATAGTATAATTGGTGTTAATCTTGAAGTCTTGTTAAAGATTCAATGCTTTGATTTTATGAATCAATATATTTTTATTTTTTAAATTTCTAGCTGATAGTTGATTCAATTTTTTAGTGGATGTAAACGAAATTACAAAAATAATGGTCTTAGAGTATGTTTGGTAAGCCAATAAGCTAGCTTATAACTTATTTTGTTAGTTTATAAGTTCTCTGTATTAAAATAAGTCTCGTTTGGTAAGACGAGCTTTTTTCGTTTGGTAAGACGAGCTTTTTTAAAAAGCTCGAGCTTATCGCCGCACTGACCGCCTATCGCAATTGGAGAAGACCTTAACGGCGGAGTTGGAAGAGATTCTCCTCCATGAAGAGATCCTGATGATTCAAAAGTCGAACCGCAATTGGTCCCTGTTTGGAGACCGTAATACCACCTTCTACCACCGACAAGTGAAAGCAAGACGCCGAAGAAATAAAATTGTTGCTCTGAGGGACGCCGATAATAATTTGATCACGGACCCGGTTGAGCTGCAAGCCATGGCTGTTAGTTATTTTAAATCTGTTTATGATGGTGGGCGGCCAGATTGCTTAGATAGAAATGTGGTCTCTGATTGTCCGGTCCTAAACCCGCAGGCCCGGATCCTTCTTGCACGGGAGATGGCTGAGGAGGAGATCATAAGGGCAATAAAGGAAATGGACTCACTTAAAGCGCCGGGCACTGATGGACTCAACGCACTATTCTTTAAGAGCCAATGGGATCGGGTTGGGCCCTCCGTATGCATGTTGCTCAGGTCAATTTTTCTTGGTGGGGATATACCTGAGGATCTCAACCAAACCCTTTTGGTCCTTATTCCCAAATGTGACCAGCCTCAAACGATTAAACAATTTCGCCCCATAAGCCTTCTGAATGTGGTATACAAGCTACTCACGAAGGTTCTAGCCAATCGGATAAAGCCTTTTCTTCCTGATTTAATCGGCAAAGCACAATCCAGCTTCATCCCGGGCCGCCAAATCCATGACAACATCATTGTGGCCCAAGAAATCATTCACTCAATGAAAACAAAAACGGGTAATACGGGCTTCATGGTAGTGAAAGTGGATCTGGAGAAGGCGTACGATTTTCTTCGATGGGATTTTGTCGAGGAAACTCTTGTGATGGTGGGATTTCCGTCACGTTTCGTGAACGTTATAATGAAATGTCTTACTACCACATCCATGCAGATCCTCTGGAATGGAGTCCCGAGTGAGTCATTCCGCCCGTCTCGAGGAGTGCGCCAAGGGGACCCCATATCTCCCTATCTTTTTGTCTTATGTATCGAAAGGCTAGCACATAGCATCCAACGTGCCGTGCGGGATGGCCAGTGGAAACCGATCAGTCTCGGGAGGGGCCAGATCCAAGTCCCTTATTTATTGTTCGCGGATGATCTCCTTCTATTTCTGGAGGCATCAACCGACCAGGTGCATAACCTCAAAAGAGTGCTCGCTGATTTTGGACATCGGTCCGGATTGAGGGTAAGCGAGGCCAAAACAAATATTTTCTTCTCGAAGAATGTCCCCCAGGTTAAGCAACAGGCCCTCTCACACTTGATGGGATTCAATAAGGTAGAAGATCTCGGCTACTATTTGGGCGTACCGATATTACATGGTCGAATCAAGGGGCAAACATATGAGAAGCTCATTGCAAAGACGGATGCCAGACTAGCCGGATGGAAAGCGACGGCTTTGTCTAAGGCGGGACGGGTGGTTCTGGCCCAGGCTGTGCTCAGCACGCTCCCATACTATACAATGCAATCGGTATTGCTGCCTACATCCACAACCGCGGGCCTTGAGAAACGCATCAGACGCTTCATCTGGGGTGGCTCAGAGGACAGAAGGAAGATTAGTCTCGTTAAATGGGATGAGGTGTGGTTGCCGAAAGAACTCGGAGGCCTGGGAATCAAACGACAGAGATTAATGAATGAGGCTTTGCTAATGAAACTCGGCTGGACTTTTCTTACAAATCCAAGCTCATTATGGGTGCGAATCTGGAGGGCCAAGTATGGAAACAACCCCTTTGACGCCGGGAATGGCCACCGACGACCAAGCTCGGGTACTTTTCAAGCGGTTAATAAAATATGGAAGCATGTAATTGGCGGCGCATGTTGGGCCATTCGTAACGGCGTGACGGTGAAGTTCTGGACTGATAAATGGTTGAATTCAAATATCACCTTACAGAGTGTCTCAACGGCCGCGGTCCCGGATGACCTCCTTC